TGTGAAGTTGTTTTCAATTCGGAGTAATCTGGTATCCAGATGAATATGTAAAGGAAGAATCTCGTTTAAATGAGGTTTGTTGTTTTTTATTGCTTTCTATATCTATCCTGCGCATCAAAAGCCATTTGCAGTTCGAAGAGATGTCATCTACGAAATTTCTCGCCACTTCTAAGGAAAATCAAGAATCGGGTTTACAATACACTCAAATGACCTCGGTTTAGGTATTGTGGAATGTGGTATCTCTCAAGTTAAACACGGTGAGCTTTTTCACGGATGTGTCGATGCTGGGAGGAAAGATTGGAGGAGAGTTTTCTATATGGAGCTCTCCATTAATCTTAGCTTTAGCTACCGGAGCACTGTAGTGTTTTTCAGGCAGAAGTGGCTGCTATTAAGGTGGCGGTAGTCCTACTGCGGTTGTATAGAGGAGGGTGAGGTGGAAACATCCACGTACTTTCTCCCCCATTCTCCAGCCTTTGCAGGAATGAGGTTGAAATATTTAAATACTGGCATTAGCCGTCTCAAAAAATTTGCGATATGTAAGAGCTTGACCATCAGATATTGGAAAGCTGTATAGATTTTCAACGGAGATTTATGGTCTGTGTACTCGTACCAGCACAAGCAATAACTTCACATTTCTTTCCCTTTTCTTAAGTTGGCGACTTTTACAGCTTTTGTCTTATTGTTGTTCTTATGGCTGAATCAATAATTGCGATTTTTATTAATGGCTATTCAATGAATCATTAATAACGAGTAAAAAAACAACAACAATGTCTCTTGAGACGGCAATAATGATAGTCCAATTCGTTAATAAATTGCCGAAATATTATTTTAGCCTCCACCGTAGTCAGTGAGCTAGAATATATATAATTATTTATGTACAGAAAAGTTTTGAAGATTAATGAAACTGCAAAAAAACAATTTTTTGTGAGATAGACGAAAAAAGGTGGTATTTGGGAATTTAGAAAATATTACCGCTGGTTTTAGAAATAGGTACTATATGCCTATGCATATTTTAAGAGCACACAGTAATATTGTTGAAAGAAAAAATTTTTTTAGATTTAAATGCCGATTTTCGACGGCGCTAAAAAATGTTCTCCATTGACGCAGTGGTTCTATCCCTCTTCTACTAGAAGATATTGTCCATCCTATGGTCGAAATCAAAAATTGACAAAATTGCGGTTTCTTAAAAAAACTTAATATTACTCAAAATCGCTTTCCAATACCTATTCGAGTATCCTGTTCCAAGCCAAATTATAATATTATATAATATTCAAAACTTATGTAAATAATGCGGACTTCGTTATATTCTAAATAGGGTGTATACGCGAACTAGTCTCTCAGTTTTTGAGATATCGATCTGAAATTTTACACCCATCCTTCTCTCACGGATATCGGATCACAATAACATATAGCAGCTTGTATTTGTGCAGGGTATTATAGCTTCGGTGCAACCGAAGTTAACGTTTTTTCTTGTTTTTATTTTAAAAAGAAGTATGAACAAATATTGGCACGCAAACCATATTAGACGGTTTTTGGATGTAAGGAAGTTTGGAGAGTCTTCTCGTGACTGTTCCCACTCCAAATACGAAAATTTACTCTATCTGTTATCTCAGAAATGTGCCTCATAAGATTTTTAATGTGCACATGTATTTATTTTGACAACTAGTTTGACAGCTGATTTGATTGCTATCCCTCTAGGAAATTCTATAACTGTAAAATCACCCAATATACGAGTAAGTTAATACTTTCTAAAACACGACAATGTTATATTCACAAATTGCTCTTATTGCAAAGAGCTTGCCACGTTTTATAATATTGATGTTTCAATAATTTATCTCCCTACATATGTATGTGGGTTTGTACTAGTATAGCGTAAAGATACGTGTATAAAATATGCAAAGTTTCACCTATATTTAACTTAGGGTAGATTAACATACACAAACACACAAGTGTTCACATAAGCCTTTCTAAATTTACACATGCACACATACCGTAAGTATGTTTCCGTTGTGTAGTATAATTTAAGCTTTATACTCCGCGAGAGACATAAATTCGACGGAATCAATATGAATTGCCAATGAGCAATTCCGATGAAACCCACTAAATCGGGCTGGCGTATGCGGATAAGAGGGATAAAGCGCTAAGAAATGAAACTATTGAAATATGCAGCGAATAAATTCGGTGGAATTGAAATCAAACAAACTGTTCGCCTCACAGTGTCTCAGGCCCATTTTAGTTGTAAGAATGTATGTATGTGTGTGCAGACATAAAAATGGGCGAAATTAAAATTGGTTGTTCTAGAGCTTGGAAATCTGTAAATCTAGACAAATATCTTAGAGCGGAAATGAAAATTTGAATTCTACTTTTCTCTAGATTTGCGTTGGCAATATTAACCGTTGTGGAGATAAATCGCCGGAGTAAGTTATACCTATGCTAACAGCGAAAACGAACAGAAAAAACAGCTTTTATGCGAACCCCTAGCGTGTCTGCAAGTAGGAACGAGTAACAAACGAAGATATCCTTCGGCGTAAATAATGGTTATTAGAATATTACCGCCACAGCGGGACTGGAAACGGCATTAAAGCGCCAAGACACCTAAGTATTGCCGAAAGCGCAAAATTTATTCGTATACGATTATATATATCGTCATAAGACGATGTATGTATGAAGTGTACTTCCGTTGTGGAAGGAAATAGCAATAGCTGGTAGCGGTGCATTGAAATATTTTATATACAATACATGACATTGAACCTTTGCTTTTATGTTGGTCATATCCTTGGCTCACACGAAGGCTACAATGCTGGTAATAGGCAGCTGAGTCGCTTTATGTGGCGGCTTGTATTTTAGATTGAATATTTATACGTTGACGGTGCTTATGAGTAACATTAGGGCACATTTCAGTCACTGCTAAAGTGTTTTCGTTGTTGGGGATAGTAAAATATTTCAAATTTACGATTGATAAGCTTATAAATGGCCAGTCCATACAAATTATGCTTCGGTTGAGATTTGAGTTACGCTAGTCAATAGCTACAAGCTTTAGGGTGTTAGTCCGGCGTACGATTTTTTCAAAACATCGCTTTGTTTTGGTTTAAAGTTAACTATAAAATCTTAAAAACATTATTTAGTTGATAAAATAGTGTAGAAAAAATGATTCTGTTTCATATAAAATGAGTTCCTAGAATTACCCTTCCAAAATTGGACCGGTAACGGTATTTTGAATCAAAATATTTTTATTAAATTTTATACACTCAAATATATGTATTATATATAAAGCCTGAGGCAGAAAAATGTGTTTCCTTTTTCTTTATTAACTAAAGAAATTGTCTAAGTTGGATAGTTTTTGAGGGTTTTAGACTAAACCCATACATTTAAATAAGTAAAAAGATGGATATCAGCAAAGAGAACTGAAAAGTGAATGGTCCTAATACTGTAACAGCTAATCATGTGCAATTTAGGTATGGTTTTTCCGTTTAAATAATTTTAATGTCAAAGGTGCACTATACTCTAGAAGGTCAATTGTCAAAAATGTCGATAAAGTAGTGGAAATCGCAGAGTTCGATCATCTTGTAAATTTGAACCAAACACCATTTTGAACCAATTAAATAAGGCTGGATACAAACCACGCTCACAATACAAAAAGGTGATGCAGAAGTTAACGTAAACAAAACTCATGGACCGAATTTCCATCTGTGAATCGCTGCTGAATCGAAACACAATCGATTCATTTCTGAAATGGATCATTACAGGTGAGTTAGGTTGGGAGATTCTTATGTATCCCTGTTATAGCCCGAACCTTGAATAATTGCTTATAGCGAATGATTTTACTGGTGAAAAATACGCCTCATGAGAGGCAAAAGGTACGATGTTATCTAAAAACGGATTTTCTTTTACTATAATTTAGATTGACGAGACATTTTGAACGCCTTATATCCCAAATATTTATGAACTGAACATTTCATTATATGTGATTCATATTTGAATATCAAAATTAACTAAATTGAAAGTTAGATATTGATTTCAGAAATATGCGATTTAAGTGAAACCTATCACGAAATTTTTGGGTTGAATATAATATTTTTTGAGGTGAATATGTAGTAAAAATATTTACTCAGACTTTTGTTGATCGTCCTGAAAAAAAAGATAAATTATATTAAGATTTCCTTGAACCACTAAATTGTTTCATAAATTATAACACTATTGTAAAGAGTGTTGTAAGTATTTAAAGTAAATGGGCAAGAACATTATAATTATGTTTGTCATGTAATGCTAATCTCTATGTTAAGAATAATATCTTAATCCTTTATTTCACTTTCGTGGATAAGTGGGAAAAGGAATAAAATACAAATATATAAGACATAAATTTCTCAGAACTTTCATTGTGTGATTTAAGAGCCTGTGAACTTTCTGACATAAAATTTATACCATGCAAAAGTATTGTAAATAAATAGTAATAAAAAATATTGGAAATAAAATTTATACAGATATTTGCAAAGATTATTTTAATATCAATTTTACTGCATCTCTCCTTCGTTGTGAATAAAATTGCAGTTATAAAAATGTACAACGAATTCAATGCAATTTTCAATAAGACCATAAACGCAGAAGTGTCAGAAACCATATTTCAAGTGGTTTGTTATAACTGCACCAAAAGGAAATAAAAATTAAAAACGAAAGGGAAAAGGATAGCGAAGCGCTCTGTTCACTGTCTGGGAAATGTAATATCAATAAAGTGATAATTTATTCATGTGATATTACTAATGGAGCGAGCAGCACACAGAGGCATGGCCGCCAAGCATATAGACAACGAAACGACACCTGCCAGCTGTTGACGTTGTCACTGCAGCTGCAACTGTTGCCGCTCAAGTTAACTTATTTTTCAATTTTGCTGAAATTCCTCTTCTGCTTTTTTTGTTATGTGTGTTAGCTTGTGAATTCTTGAATTTCTGCTGTATAATTGCATGAAACTTATACGCGCATTTCACCATGTTATGACTGCTCACCTGGGGTGGAACGTCGAGTACCATCAGCTCGCGTATGCAAGTGTCGCACACCAGACAGCTCTTGTAGATCTTTCTGCGTGTAGTCGTCTGATGTGTCTTCGGAAAGTCGTGGTAGAAGAATTGCTGCAATGGCAAAGAAAGAAGGGTTGTGGTAAATAAATAGTCGTTTTAGAAATACATTTAAGTTCATAAGTTGTAGCATTACAATTCTAACTTGATATGGTAGTATGAAGTATGAAATGTTGCTTATACGTCGTGGGGGACCCACATACACATGTTTATCAGTTGTAATTCAATGAAACTGATAACATTTAATTTTTATTAAGATGTGAATATCGAAATAAATAATAATAATTGGTTTACAATAAACGTTTAAAATAAGTTAGAAGGTTGCCATCTGTTTAAAAAAAATTTAATTAAAGAAGTTGTTGAATGAAAAAATCTAGTAATTTGAACGGTATAGGAAATTTTGTGTTTAAATATTTTTTGAACAGCGTTGCCAGCTGTTTAAACTTTAATTCAGTAAAGCTAAAAATATTTCTAAAAAATATAGTGAAGTTGCCACACATTTAAAAGTTTTAATTCATTTGAATTTTGATATTTGAAAAACATAACATGTAAAATTGATAAACTCAATCGCAAATCTTTCTATCAAGCATTATTATTACTTTTTACATTTAATTGTTCAATTAATGAAGCCAGCTTCTTGAGCATTTTGAAGACGGCAGCGACATATAAAAAAGCTAATGTACACAATTTCTTTGTTGCCTTACTAAAACCTTTCACTTCAATGAAAGTACATATTAGTGGCAACACTGCATCTGCCCATTGAACTGGCCTGCTGCCGTGAAGTCATTCTGCTGTCTAAATAACTCCTCCCAAAAGAACAAGTGTGTTTTAATTTTTGACAGATGCTGCCTGTCGCTTGTCGTCGCCTATGTGTGTAGCACTTCATTCGTAACAAAGTTGGCACTATCAATGTATTCAATTCTCGTACGTCCGTTATTTGTATTATGGCACAGTTCCGGCGCTTAACAGTACATTTATTGGGCGCTCATTTATTGCCAGTCAGCGAAGTTATTGACCGGCTAAACGCAAATGACAAACATTTATTGCGATACTATGCGATATCAAACATATGTATATGAAATGGAATTGTATGTAGAATGAGTATGTACGAGTATGTATGTATGTGAATACATAGTAAGAAGATAAAAACAATAAGCTATGGAGAAATAAGGTTAAAGAAAATTGCTGATTCAATAGAACGGGATGAAATATCATTTAAAGGCATGTAAAGAAAATATATGTAAGTGCACATATACACATATGTAATCGGGAGGTACCATCGTGTTTATGATGGGCTCAAGCTACCGAAAATTCGAATTACATACGTACTATCATACAAGCATATAACCGCAGCTCAGAGAAACACGTTGTTAACGTAAATGAAAAAAGAAAAACAAGCCCGCTATTTATGCGCAGACATGCAATGAGTCGGCCCAGGCGAGGTCGGCTAGCGCAATAATATGACACTAAGACGCAGCTGTTGCATCAGTTTATATGGGCAACATCTACACGAGTAATGACACATCGAGAAATCGTCTTCCGATTGCCCTCGTACAGAAAATTTGCAAACACAAGCACACATGTGCACTTATATGCCATATGACTGATTCATACCCAGCAGAGAAATCAGCTGGCCTAGAAGTGTCGATAATTTGGAATTACTTTTGCACTTTGTTTCATTCTACAAGTATTGCTCAAAATTTTTTGATCGAGCACACTAACACTTGTAACATCACCAATTTTGAGTTTCCTAAAATAATTGTAAGGTGGTGCCTGCTCTCGCTAGCTCTAGGAATTATTTCATAAGCTTCGATAAGCTTAAAAGCTAAAAAGCTTAAGAATCGCTATCTGTATATATAAATATTTTTGTTGTTGTGAGCACACTCTTTGTATGACCAAGTAGGATTTCTTTAATTGCTATGATCTCCGCTTGGAAGACACTGCAGTGGTCTGGTAGTCAGCAAGCGATTCTGTTATCTAATTTTGTTAAAAAGACTTCACCTCCGACTCGATTATCTAGTTTGGACCCATCCGTATAGAAACTTATCCCTCTATCTCACTCTCTAGAAGGGAATGCAATATTTGGGACCGAATTTAATCTGTGTAAAGTCAATATCTTACACGAGGCCTTATTCCCGATTTGGGCTCCACTATCTTTTTATAGGTGTAAAGTGCTGTAGCTGCTTTCTTTATTCTAGCATCTAAATTTGGTTTCCATGAACTAGCCATAGATATCAAATATTCTATAACACTATGTCGTGAGCGAAAGAAAAGCTATCTCACTCTTTCATTTGCGATGTCAATACAATTAAATATTATTCTGTCAAACGAATTCTAAATTGTAAGAAGCGATCTGCAGTAATGTCTATTCCTTATTCTCAGACTCATTCTGTATAAATGCAATGCATAAAAACTCTAAGCTGAAACCACTTTAGCCCCTCTACGGGCGACTGTTTCGCTTAGGATGGTTCATATCGTTTGTCTTCATGGCTGATAATAAGATTACAGAGAAAGAAGGAAAAAGAAAAAAAGAGAGATATAGAAGAGCACGAGAGAGGGAAAGAGAAAGGAAAAAATTAGAGTGTGAGTGTGTGAGATTAGTTGTTGGATTTATTTGGCCAGACTAGTGTATGCTTACAAAAAACAATAAAATATAGATGGTCTTGAGAAAATCTTGAGATAATGGCGAGAACTAAAACTCCCTTTTTGACTTAAATTTAAGCAAATACATCTCAAAGGTACTAATGAGATTACTGGCGGTCGAGTCTATACATATATAGGTATATGTACAATATATACTTAAGTCTCCACAAACCATGCATATGCATATAAGTATGCATGCCGACGCTCATTTAGGGACTTACGTTTGCGAGTCGACACTTCTTCCGCCTTCGTTGATACTCGTTCTTTCCTCCAAGCTACGCCTGTCTGCATAGCACATCTTTTAAATTACGATTTAAATGAGTTAAAGCACCAATGACTCTTGTACCCTCGCACACATGCGTTACTATGCATGCCACCTTTACAGTCTGCCTTTGGCCTCATCGATGACATTTGGCTGCGTTCCAAACGTGTCCAAAAATTGCTTGACATGTATTTCCTAGTACGAGTAGAGTATATTCCAAGTATAGCTTCCAAAAACTTAAATGCGTTGTTGCTAACCCCTCTCCCCCTCATTTTATGACCATATGTTGTCTTACTGCGGAATTTTTATGCTTACTTTTCAATTTGTATTTGCCCGCGGTTTATGCTTACGGTTCGTTTTATATTTTATCTACCACTTTAACCTTTTGCGAGTGGATATTTCAGTCAAAGGTAACTGAATCTTTGTAGAGCTGTAATTATGTGTGTTACGTATGATGTGCAATCTATTTCGCATAATATTCGTATTGCTGTGATATATGGTGAATCTGTGCTTCAGACTAAGGAGATTTTGAGATTTTCACATTGATTTACTAAGGACAATCAAAAAGGAAGTGTTTGATAAGTTTAGCCTTCCAGTTTTATACTGTTTAATATGGAAATAATGTGTGGTTTTCATATGTGATTGAAATATCACAATAACTTATATTTTATCGAATGTTTTTAAATATCTTTCGGAACCAATACATAAAGAATTTTTAGTAAGCCTCTCAAAGAGTAGTTTCTTCTCTTGTATCTGCTTCACGGTTAAGTAAATGGTGAAGTTAACAGCCGTGAGGCTTAGATTTTAAGCATTATAAAATTTTTCAAGGCCAATGTTCAACATTTTTTCTATAAAGTCCATTCGTTACACTGTTAAGATTTTAAAGAATATTTGGCGGCGCCACAATAGGACAAAATATAGTCTATGGCCAACCCGTAAGCTTATTTAACATGTGTCGAAACTTTAATACCAGAAATCCTGGTAAAAGCCGGCCCTAATAAATCGGTATTCAAACTGTGCAATTTTTTTATCACTCAAGTTATTTCGTTAAAACTCGCACATAACCTTAAAGTTAATATCACTAATGCAATTTGTCAGCGATGAGCATATTTGTGTGGCAGACACAGGGGCTGAGGGCTATACTCCTACATAAGCTTATATATTATGTGTGTATGGTATTTATGCATGTAAATATATATTTATGTGGGGTGGTGGAAGTCAAGCGGGAGCAAGCGTTTATGTTGAGGCAACAAGGCGTATCCCTTTCCGTATTTGCCGCGTCGGTTGACATCTCTCGGCGCGTGATTGTTTGCAGTTGGTGTCGCTGTTTATTTGATTTGCCACAGCGGAGCGCGTAAATATTTCAATTTATTAGAATTTCAATTACATTTGCGTTCAAATATAAAAAATATCATAAACGCATATCCATAAAGAAGAAAACAAGCTGTATTTTAAGGGTAATCAAGTAATTTGTTTTTATAAGGATCCAAATGCAAAGTTTAAATTGGGAGAATTTGATTTTATATCTACTTCGTTTTATTCTTGTTTTGAGAAATTTTTGCAGTTAACCTTTACCCAGTTGCTGCCTAAATGAAAGAAGATGTGAAGTAAAAAGCTCTGCCATTTACAACACTACAAAAATCGAAGCGTTTAGGTTCGGTGGTTCGAACCACTAAGAACATACTTGTACCGGTTCAAGAACCAGTTTATGAGTATCTCTGAACCGCGGTTCGGTTCGATTCAAATGGTTCAGGTTTTTATACTAATTGATATGAAAACACCTATACATATATACATACATATGTATGTACGAAAATAAAAGGCCTCGTCATTCAATATGTGTAAAATATTTATTAAAAGTTTTTAGCGTGAATTACTAAACCTAGTATGGAAGTTACCAATAGTTATTATTATATACATATACATATGTAGCATGGCAAAACGTAGACTTTCAATGAGTGAAATTTTAATGTAGAGCGCTTCTGGAATTTCTTCTTCGAAATTTTACCCACGATATTCTCTGAAGCGTCGGCGTGCTTTCTTTGTATGTGCCTCGCCAAATTTACTGTATGTTTTCCTTTCATTTTAAATTTGCGATGTACTGACTCATTTGACTAATAATTTTTATCTACATTAAATCTTTTGTGAA